AGGCTGAGGCTGAGGCAGGCTGAGGCTGAGGCAGGCTGAGGCTGAGGCTGAGGCAGGCTGAGGCTGAGGCTGAGGCAGGCTGAGGCTGAGGCAGGCTGAGGCCGAGGCCGAGGCTGCATGCAGACTGAGGCTGAGGCTGAAGCAGGCTGAGGCTGAGGCTGAGGCAGGCTGAGGCTGAGGCTGAGGCTGAGGCAGGCTGATGCTGAGGCAGGCTGAGGCTGAGGCTGAGGCTGATGCAGGCTGAGACTGAGGCAGGCTGAGGCTGAGGCCGAGGCTGAAGGCAGACTGAGGCTGAGGCTGATGCAGGCTGAGGCTGAGGCTGAGGCTGAGGCAGGCTGAGGCTGAGGCAGGCTGAGGCTGAGGCCGAGGCTGCGACTGCCGTTGCCACTGCGACTGTCATCGCGAATTCGACTACGACTGCGAGAACAGCAGAATTCTACAACTGGATTCTCATCTGAATCTTAAGGGGAATGCTTCCAGATATGCTCCTACACATCGCTGTTAGGTTGCTTTGCGGGCATAATTTTCTGGGTTTTTGTCTTCCCACCCACTTCCCATATTTTCCCATATTTTCCGGGGAGTCGACGATTAATTGTGTCTGTGTGTTTCCTCCCCTCCTGAAGGTGTGCTTTGCGAGTCGGGGAGCGCGCCCGGGAAGACGTCGTGGACTCCCTCGCCGGGAGGGGGGCTCCTCTCGGTGGTGGCGGCGCGGCTGCTCCCCTCCTCCCCGGGAAGGGAGGTGGGGCGGCCCATAGGGCCTCGGAAAACACGCGTGGTGATCGCCGCTATCGTTAAGTCGGGCCCGTCCCCCTACAGGGGGAGATTGGACGACACATTCGAAATACTCAAAAATATTCAAAAGATGCCCAACCATAGTCAACACATAATCAAAACATGAGCAAACAGTAATCAGCAAATAATAAAAATGTCTTGGACGAAAAATCAAAAAATAAACAAGAATATGCAAAAGATGGCCAAAGATAGGCAAACAATAGTCACCCGGCTATTTTTTGACTATTTTTGAATCTTCCCCCTGTAGAGGGACGGGCCCGACTTAACGCCATCGCAGGGCGGCCGAGCCGTGGCGGAAGGTGGCTCCGGGCCGCCATGGGGGCGGCACGGGCTGGTTTGGGATGGGTGCCGGGCGTGTGGTCAGTCCAGGTGCCCTCGACGATATCAGCATGCAGCATGCGAGGAACCAGCCATAGGGTGTCAAGGAGGAGAAGGAGGAGGATGAGAGTGATCATGATAATGACGATGAGGCTAAGGATGAGGATGATGATGCTGATG